AGGGAGGAGGGGCTGGGGTCTGGACTCCTGGGTCTGAGGGAGGAGGGGCTGGGGGTCTGGACTCCTAGGTCCGAGGGAGGAGGGGCTGGGTCTAGACTTCTGGGTCTGAGGGAGGAGGGGCTGGGGTTTGGACTCTTGGGTCTGAGGGAGGAGGGGCTGAGGGTCTGGACTCCTGGGTCTGAGGGAGGAGGGGCTGGGGTTTGGACTCCTGGGTCTGAGGGAGGAGGAGTCCTGGGTTTGGACTGCTGGGTCTGAGGGAGGAGGGGCTGGGGGTCTGGACTCCTGGGTCTGAGGGAGGAGGGGCTGGGTTTGGACTTCTGGGTCTGAGGGAGGAGGGGTCCTGGGTCTAGACTCCTGGGTCTGAGGGAGGAGGGGTCCTGGGTCTGGACTCCTGGGTCTGAGGGAGGAGGGGCGGGACTTCTGGGTGTGAGGGGAAGGGTCTTGGGTACTCGGAGTCCTGAGCCTGGAGAGATGATGGTTAAACTTCTGGGAATCAAGTAGAACTCCTGAGTCCTTGGCACTGACGTATGTTGAGTGGAGGGTCAGCATGCCCTGCTCCGGGTTGGCGATGCTGGAGGTGGGCCTTGGACCAGAGAAAATGCTTTAATTAAGTGACAAGCGGGCAGAGGCCTCTGTTCCAGGTGCCGGCCGCCACGGGCGCTGCTGACGGCACGGGAAGCAGACCCTGTTCCCCTCCAGCCTCCGGCGTTGGAATGGCTGCCGCCGCGCGGTGCAAGTCTGGAAAGTAGCAGTTTGGCACGGGACCCTAGAATTCTCCAAAAGGAGCCACTAGGGCCTGGGATTCTGGAATTTAAGTGTGGACGGGGTGGTGGGTGCGAGAGCGGAGACCCTGGTGGGCGCGGGGACACCTGCAGGCTGGAGGCCCCCGCGAGCTCCCGCGGCAGCCTGGCAAACAGGTTCTCCATCCCCGGGGAGGACGCAGCAGGGGCGGAGAATCGCCCCGCTCGCCGGGACCAGGTGCGGGGGCCCTGCCCAGCCGCTGGGGCGTGGCCAGGCTCGAGGTACCCAGGTGCCTGGGGCCGACTCTAAGCCCTGGCGCCGGGAAGGAGAGGGCGGCGGATTGGACCTCCCGGCTCCAGCTTTGCAGCTGGGCGCGCGGCCTCCGGGTCCACGCAAGGATGCGGCGGCTGCTTGGAAGCCAGGTAGGCTGCCCGGGGTGAAGCTCTCGTGCAGGTCAATGCCGGGACGGCGGGGCCGGGCGCGGTCCCTTGCATGCCGGATCTGGGCAGCGGTGGGTCCAAGGGCCATCGCCCTAGCCCGGGGCGCTAGGGCTCGGCGTCAGGGGAGGGGCGGGGCTCCATCTTCTTGGCACCTGCCCGGCCCGGGAGGGCGGAGGCTGCTAACCTCCCGGCCGCGCCCCCTCCTTCCTCCCCTCCCCAAGCCCTCGCTGCCAGTCCGGGCAGGCTGCTCGGAGGGGAGGGCTGCGGGGCCGGAGAGCCGGGCGCCTGGCGTTCCGGGGGCCGCCGGATATGGCCAGCCTTGGTGGACGGCGCGCTCTGGCCACCCGAAGCGTGGATCTGCCCCCTTCAAGGAGCTCAGGTGAGTGGGGACTGCGGGTGCCTGGGACCCAGGAACGACTCCTTCAGAGCCGGAAGAAGAGGTACAACCCCAACCTCTTCGCCAGGTCTTCCTAAGGCCTTAGGACTCTCCACCACCTCCCCAGCCATTACTCCACCGGGACCAAGATACTCCTTCCGCTCCTGATCCTCCAGCCTTCCTTGTTTCACATGGGCTGTTTCTTGCCATCATCACCTCTGTGGTGGATTTTGCGCCTCACAGGCAGGTACCCCTGAGAATCAGGCTGGTGAAAGAAGGAGGGATCAGTGGAACTTACAGGAGGGGAGACTCGAGATTCCTGCAGAAAAAGTTCAGGGACCTGCACCATGCAATCGGTGTGTTTTGTTTTTTTGTTTTGTTGTTTTGTTTTTAGACAGGGTCCCTCTCTGTCGCCCAGGCTAGACTGCAGCAGTGCTATCGTGGCTCACTGTGGGATGCACTCACCATACATAGCTCCTGTGGAGCTGAGACCACAGACACATGCTACTGTGCTAAGCTAATTTTCTTTTTCTTTCTTTTCTTCTTTCTTTCCTTCCTTCCTCCCTCCCTCCTTCTCTCTCACTCTTTTCTTTCTTTCTTTTCTCTTTCTTTCTATTTCTTTTTTTCTTTCTCCTTCCTTCCGTCCTCTTTCTTTCTTTCTTTCTTTCCTTCTTTTTCTTTCTTTCTTTCTTTCCTCCGACTCCTGGGTTCAAGCGATTCTCCTGCCTCAGCCTCCTGAGTAGTTGAGATTACAGGCATGCACCACCACACCCGGCTAATTTTGTATTATTAGTTGAGATGGGGTTTCACCATGTTGGTCAGGCTGGTCTTGAACTCCCGACCTCAGGTAAGCTGCCTGCCTTGGCCTCCCAAAGTGCTGGGATTACAGGCCTGAGCCACCAGGCCCAGGCCACGTCAAGCTAATTTTAATTTTTTTATATAAAAGTAGAGTCTTGCTCTGTTGCCCAGGCTGATCTGGAACTCTTAGGCTCAAAAGGCTCTCCCATCTCAGCTCCCAATATGCTGGGCTTACAGGTGTGAGCCACAGTGCCCAGCCAAACCATGGCTACACTTCACGGTCTTCCCATCCCCCATGCCCAGAGATCCCAACGCTCTCATCCCTCAAACCTAGGACTCAGACTCTCCCTACCTCAGCCCCAAGAGTCTAAACCTTTAGCTTCCTCTTTCCCTGGGATGGAGGGAAAACGAACCCCAGGCCTCCCTCTCCTCCCCCATCCCTGCTCAGCCTCTGCGCATCTGCTAATTCTCCTTTCCTCCCCTGCAGCCATGTGGCCACTGAGCCATCGTCACCTCTGTCTGGCCTTCCTGCTAGTCTGTGTCCTCTCTGCAATCTCCTTCTTCCTCCACATCCACCAAGACAGCATTCGACACGGCCTAGGCCTGTCGGTCCTGTGTCCAGACCGCCACCTGGTGACACCCCCCGTGGCCATCTTTTGTCTGCCGGGTACCCCGATGAGCCCCAACACCTCCTCTCCCTGTCGCCAGCACCCTGCCTCCCTCTCCGGCACCTGGACGATCTACCCCGATGGCCGGTTTGGTAACCAAATGGGGCAGTATGCCACGCTGCTGGCCCTGGCCCAGCTCAACGGTCGCCGAGCCTTCATCCTGCCCGCCATGCACGCCACACTGGCCCCGGTCTTCCGCATCACGCTGCCCGTGCTGGCCCCAGAGGTGGACAGCCGCACGCCCTGGCAGGAGCTGCGGCTTCACGACTGGATGTCGGAGGAGTACGCAGACTTGGGGGATCCTTTCCTGAAGCTCTCCGGCTTCCCCTGTTCCTGGACTTTCTTCCATCATCTCCGGGAACAGATCCGCAGCGAGTTCACGCTGCACGACCACCTTCGCGAAGAGGCGCAGAGCGTGCTGCGGCGGCTCCGCCTGGGGCGCTCGGGGGACCGGCCGCGCACGTTTGTGGGCGTCCACGTGCGCCGTGGGGACTACCTCCAGGTGATGCCTCAGCGCTGGAAGGGCGTGGTGGCCAACAGCGCCTACCTCCGGGAGGCCATGGACTGGTTCCGGGCACGGCATGAAGCCCCGGTGTTTGTGGTCACCAGCAACGGCATGGAGTGGTGTAGAGAAAACATCGACACCTCGAAGGGCGATGTGATGTTTGCTGGCGACGGACAGGAGGCTTCCCCGTGGAAAGACTTTGCCCTGCTCACGCAGTGCAACCACACCATCATGACCATCGGCACCTTCGGCTTCTGGGCTGCCTACCTGGCTGGCGGAGACACTGTCTACCTGGCCAACTTCACCCTGCCAGACTCTGAGTTCCTGAAGATCTTCAAGCCCGAGGCCGCCTTCCTGCCCGAGTGGGTGGGCATTAACGCAGACCTGTCTCCACTCTGGACACGGGCTGAGCCTTGAGAGCTGGGGAGACTTTCCGGAATAGCCTGATCTCTCTAGAGCCAGCAGCAGTCTGTGGCTCCAGAAGCCTGGCATCTTCTGGAGAAGCTTGTGGCGTTCCTGAAGCCAATGGGCACCCTTTTCCAGAGCGATTCTAGTTGGGAGAGTTGGAGAGAAGGGGGACCTTTCTGGAACTGTCTGAACATCTAGAACCAGCAAAATGTCTTTTTCTGATGGCTGGCAGGCAGTTCTAGAAGCCACAGTGCCCACCTGCTTTTCCCAGCCCATATCTCGAGTAGTTCCAGATGGCCGTGCCCAGGAATAGAAAACTCTCCCTCTGCTCTTTTCTATAAAAGGTTTACTGCTCCCCTGTGTCCTCAGAAGACTGAGGGAACACATGGTTGGTCCAGAGCAAGCATTCAGCAAGTCCCGTTCTGTGTTTCTGGAGTGATTCTAGAAGGCGACTTGTTCTAGAGAGGGCCAGGTTCGATGCCTTTGAAGAACCCTGCAGGGCCCTTCTGGAGGGGATGGCGTTCTGGAAATCCAGATAACTAAGGTGAAGAATCTTTTTGTTTTTTTGTTTTTGGAGACAGGGTCTTGCTCTATTGCCCAGGTTGGAGTCTGGAGTACAGTGTCACGATCATAGCTCACTGAAACCTTGAATGCCTGAGCTCAAGGGATCCTCCTGCCTCAGCCTCCTGAATAGCTGGGACTACAGATGCACACCACCACACCTGGCTAATTTTTGTATTTTTAGCAGAGTCGGGGTTTCACCATGTTGGCCAGGATGGTCTCAATCTCCTGACCTCATGATCCACCTGCCTCAGCCTCCTGAAGTGCTGGGATTACAGGCATGAGCCACTGCGCCTGGCCCAGCTAATTTTTTTTTGTTGTTTTATTTTTGTATAGACAAGACCTTGTGATATTGTCCAGTCTGTTGTTGAACTCCTGGCCTCAAGCAGTCCTCCCTCTTTGGCCTCCCAGAATGCTGGGATTACAGAGGTGGCCAAGTGAAGAATCTAATGAATGTACAACTAGAAGCTCAGTGCCCAGCATTGCTGGAAAGATCGACATGAAAGACAAACCATCTCTGGTTGGCCAGCGTCTTGCTCAGTTCACAGGCTCTGGAAAAACTGGGGTAGTTGGTGAGCAGAGTGGGAGTCTGTCCAACCCGGTCCCCAGCCCCTCAAAGACTTTTTTTCCTTTGTTTTGAGCAGACAGGCTAAAATGTGAAAGTGGGGTGAGGAATCACTGCTCAATGGTGCAGCTTCTGGAGCAGAACTTTCCAGGGATCCAAGAACACTTCTTTTTTAAAATCGTAAACTGTCGAGACCTACATATATTGGCTCCAAGTTCAGGTTGCCACTCACAATGAAGGAAGTTGGTCTTTCTCTGCAGGTGGGCTGCTGGGGGTCTGGGATCTGTTTTCTGGAAGTGTGCAGGCATAAACACACCCTCTGTGCTTGTGAAAAGCTGGCAGGTGTTGTGCTCATTGCTAATCATTGTCTGCCCCTAAACTCACGAAACCACTGCGTCTGGCTTTGGGCAGGTCTGGGATAAAAGGATCCAAAGGTATGCAGACCTTGGACCCAGCTTCAAACCCAGGCAGGAGGGCGAGGTCTGGCCAAGGTGGACAGGATTGTTGAGCTCTCAGGAGCCCCCTGCTGTTTTTTGGTGGATGAAAGAAGAGTCAACTCTGATCACATCCCCCGTCTACTCATCCCACCTCTAGGCTTCTCAGGGAGTTACAGTGAAATTGTACAGTTACCGTACAGTTCCCAACTCAGCTGCTACAGGTAAGAGAGCAGGAGGTATGAATTAAAAGTCCACAGCACCAATCCCTGTCTCTGCGGCTTTTTTGGAACAAGAGCGCTGTGTGTGTGTGTGTGTGTGTGTGTGTGTGTGTGTGTTTAAGTAGATAAGAGAGTGGAGGGAAAGGGGGGCGCTTCTAAGGAGTTTTTCTTTTTTTTTTTTTTGGAGACGGAGTCTCGCTCTGTGGCCAGGCTGGAGTGCAGTGGCATGATCTGGGTTCGCTGCAACCTCCACCTCTCCGGTTCAAGCGATTCTCCTGCTTCAGCCTCCCAAGTAGCTGAGACTACAGGCGCTTGCCATCATGCCCAGCATTTTTTGTTTTGTTTTGTTTTGTTTTGTTTCTGGTAGAGATGAGGTTTCACATGTTGGCCAGGATGGTCTCGATCTCCTGACCTCGTGATCCGCCCGATTCGGCCTCCCAAAGTGCTAGGATCACAGGCGTGAGCCACCGCGCCCGGCCTTGAGGACTTTTATTACTCGAGACTGAGAGTGCTGTCCCTACTTAGATCTGACAGCCTCTTGTTGCTGGACTTGTGTGACTCGTGGCCTCGGTTTTTCTGGTTCCCTGTTTCGATCACACAGGAGAGAGACCTTCCAGGGCCCAAAGGTCTGAGCCCCCAGTTGCTCTCTCCTGGACCCTCAGTATTGGCCCCCAACCCTCTCCTCCCACTGGGACCTCCGCGTGGGGAGAAGAGTAGGAGGCGGGAGCGAGCAGATAATCATTGAACTACATTTCCCAGAAAGCTATGGGGTTGGGCAGCGCTAATCAACTACGGACAAAGAGGCCCCAGGGCATTCTGGGAGTCGTAGTCCTAGGGCTAAACCGTTCAATTCGTGGCTTGACAGCCGTTTCTAAGGGCTGTGATGGGGTCGGCAGCGGCCTAGGGCGCCGGATCTAGCCCAAAGCCTGGGTCCTGGGGCAGTGGGAGGAGAGGTGTCTGAAGGCCAGAGCAGTCAGGAGGCCTCCTCTTCCGCAGATGCCAGGAAAGTTCTAGTCTGAAAAGGCTGCCGCCTCTGTGACGTCATGGAGCGAGAGGCGGGGCAGCCCTTTGTTACAGTCCAATCAGACAGAGCTGGGTTTCTGGGCGGGGCCGAGGAAAATCCCACGGAATATCTCTGAGGGAATTCGGGCTGAGAAGCTGGGAGGAGACTGCAGGAGTTCCTTATAGAGAGGGGAGCGTCCGTGACTCAGAAAAGCTCTCGATTTCACGCAACCGACCTTACCCGCGTCCCCAACAAAATCCTTGATTTTGGCCCTTGGAAAATTAGCGTAGGTGGTCCTGACCCCCGGTTCCTCTTTAAAAGCCCTCTAGTGTTCGAGGACACAAGTCAGGAACCGCCCTGTTTCGGGAGACGGAGTCTCTGTCGCCCAGGCTGGAGAGCAGTAGCGCGATCTCGGCTCCCTGCAACCTCCACCTCCCGGGCTCAAGCAATTCTCTGCCTCAGCCTCCCGAGGAGTAGCTGGGATTACAGGCGCGCGCCACCACGGCCGGCTAGTTTTTGGTATTTTTAGTAGAGACAGGGTTTCACCATCTTGGCCAGGCTGGTCTTGAACTCCTGACCTTGTGATCCTCCCGCCTCGGCCTCCCAAAGTGCTGGGATTACAGGCATGAGCCACAGCGCCTGGCTGGGGCTCCTTTTTCTAAGCAGAAAGGTGCGAGCTGCAAACTGGGAGTCCGTTAGTCTTGGGGAAGGGTGAACAAGCACCCCTTAGGTCTGGAGGATCGCTTGGAGCCTTAAGTGTATAGTGGAGTCCCGAGGTTTAGGAATTTGGAACGTGTTTTGGTTTTGGAGGAGTTTGGAGTTTGATGGTTGGGTCTGTATTAGATGATTTATTGGTTTGGGCATTGAATTTTCAGCTTGAGGTTCAGGTTTTGGGGGGCTGCCAGAGGAGTGCCTCGGTGTTGCATTTAAGGGTTGGCGTTCAGGATCACATCAATCTGGGGACTTGTAAATTCCATAGTTTGGGAGTCTGGGAAGGGGCATATGCGGTTGGAAGATTCCAGGTCCTGAGTTTGGAGACTTATGAGTGCTTCCTGTTTAACAGTTTTTCTGATCTCTCGGGATGCAGTGAGAACCCTAAATTTGGGGTCCCCTGGATTGGGGCTCAGTTTCACCCTTTGGAGGCATTTGGTGAAGGACATACATCCTCTTTATTTGGAGATTTCCTGAAGATCCTTGTTTTGTGGTTTGGGGACCCCATGGATAGGGTGGCCCAGTGGGGTTTCTTAAGACGGGCTTTGGCTTCTCTCCCTTTAGCGTTCTCCTGCTCTCGGTTTGGGGTGAGAGCACCCTTCCTGACGGTCTCCGGGAACTGCGCGCTGGCTGCAATGGGGCCGCATTTTACCCTCCTGTTTTCGGCGCTGGCCGGTTGCCTGCTTCCTGCCGAGGGCTGTGTCATCTGTGACCCGTCTGTCGTGCTGGCGCTAAAGTCCTTGGAGAAGGATTACCTGCCTGGCCACCTGGATGCGAGCCTTCACAAAACCTTAATGGATAAAGTAGAGAAGGCCGTGGCAGATTTCCAGAATCTGTCGCTTGCTGAGGATGCCTATATGGGGGTCATCGGTGATCACAAGGGGGAGCCCGGGACCCCTGGGTCCTAGGAAGGAGGGGAATAACACCAGGGGGAGGAAGAGGCTGACAGCAGGGTCTCCGGGATTCAAGAATGGAGAAGGCCGAGATGCAGATTCTCAGGTTCCCCAGGGCTAGTAAATATTGTATTCCCTATCTTTAGCCGGCAATTTTATGTACTAAAACTACAACTCCCAGAAGGCGACGGGTAGCTGGTCCCTTGACCAGGCCTATCTTTGCCCAGTGGCCTCATGGGTATTGTAGTTTCTAAGACTGGGCGCTCCAATGAGACAGTAAGGCTGGAATCTGAGATTGTATCTCCCCCGACAGATGAGGACACACTGCAAAAGGCTTCCTGGAGTTTGCTGAAGGATCTGAAACGCATCACAGACAGTGACGTAAAAGGTAAATGCACCAAGGGAGTGGGGATCCAGAATCTCTCAGGGAACGCAGGGCTAGTGATGCCTGGTCTCTTGGTCAGATACTAGGCTTTGGAACCAGACTGCCTAGGTTCAAATCCCTGCTCTGCCACTTCCTAGCTGTATGGCCTTGAGCAAAGGACTTTGAAACTCCCTTGGCTCTAAAATGCTCCCTCAGTTGTTCAGTTTAAATGTGTATTGCTGGCCAGGCACAGTGGCTCATGCCTGTAATCCTGGCAGTTTGGGAGGCTGAGGCAGGCAGATTGCTTGAGTTCAGTAGTTCGAGACCAGCCTGACCAACATAGTGAAACCTTGTCTCTACAAAAAATACACACACACACACACACACACACACACACACACACGGTGGTGTGTGCCTGTAGTCCCAGCTACTTAGGGTGTTGAGGCAGGAAGACTGCTTGAGCCCAGGAAGTCAAAGTTGCAGTGAGTCGTGACCACACCACTGCACTTCAGCCTGGCTGGCAGAGTAAGACCCTGTGCCCGCCATCCCCCAAAATATGCATTGCTTAGCCCAGTGGCTGGCATTATGTTAGACGGTCAGTTTTAGTGCCCTTCCCTGAGAAGGCCAGAAGGTGGAATGCCAGGCTCTGCAGGCAGAAGCAAACTTCCAGCACCTCACACGTGGGACGGGGGGTGGCTGTGTCTTCCCAGACAATCTCTTCGCGAAGGAGCTATTTTGGATGTTGCACCTGCAAAAGGAAGCCCTTGCCACCTCTGTTGCTCGATTCCAAAGAGAGGGTGAGAGAAGATGGGAGCCCGTGTCCCCAACTCCTCTTTCCGCAATCCCAGAGTCCTTGTCTCCAGCCGCTTACTTCTCCAAGCCCAGTTCCTCAGCTTCTCCAAGTCCTCCTCCTTCAGACCCAAGTCTTTTTCTCTTCTAACCCAAGAGCCCAAAGCCCAGCGCTTCCCCCAACCCCCTCTCCCATCGTTTTTAATTTAGAAATCTGATTCTGGCATCTCTTTCTCTGTCTCTCTCTTTTTTTCTCTTTTGACACAGCTTATTGTCCCAATCAATGTGGTGAGTCCGGATTACAGAAGCTAACCCTCTGCTCTTCGTCCGGCCCTCTGAATAGTGAACCTCCCCACTCAACTTTTTGGATCCTGGTGATTTTGCCATTCTCTGCCTTGGAGAGGTTTCTAGGTCTCCAGTATACTTTCTCCACCTTGAATTTCTTGGGGAGCAGGTCATATTCTATTTACCTTCCTTTTTTTTTTTTTTTTTTGAGACATAGTCTTGCCCTGTTGCCTGGGCTGGAGTGTGATCTCAGCTCACTGCTAACTCTGCCTTCCAGGTTCAAACAATTCTCCTGCCTCAGACTCCCAAGTAGCTGGGATTACAGGCGCCCACCACCATGCCCAGCTAATTTTTGTATTTTTAGTAGAGACAGCGTTTCACTATGTTGGCCAGGCTGGTCTTGATCTCCTGACCTCATGATTTGCCCACCTTGGCCTTCCAAAGTGCTGGGATTACACTCACTGGCTTAACCAGCACAGCTGGCTTACACTCACTGAGCCTTGTTGGCACCCACTTCCTACCCACCTGCGTCCTGGCCCTGTCCCTTTGCCTGACCATCTAGGAATGTCATAGATGACCTGGCCCCAGCCCTTGGCCCTGACCTCTCCTTTTAGCCATGGCTCTTACTGGGCAATTACAAGCCTTGACCCCGCCCCTCCAGGTATGATGCTGCAGACTCTGATCTGGTGCATGAACTGCAAAAAGGAGGTTCACGCTTGCCGAAAGTCCTACGATTGTGGGGGTGAGAGAACTGGACCCAGTGGGAGGAATTGGTGCAGGTGGGGTGGGGTGAGAGAAGAGACAGTCTCAAGCCTAGATGCAGGTGTGGGAGCAGCAGACAAGAAAAGGCAGGGTTTAGGCTGGGTACAGTGGCTCACACCTGCAAACCCAGCACCTTGGGAGGCTGAGACGGGAGGCTTGCTTGAAGGCGGGAGCTTGAGACCAGCCTGGGCAACATAGTGAGACCCCATCTCTACAAAAAAAGTAAAAAGTTAGCCAGGTGTGGTGGTGCATTTCTGTAGTCCCCGCTACTTGGAAGGCTGAGGCAGGAGGATTGCTTGGACCCAGGAGTTGGAGGCTCCAGTGAGTTATGGTCATACCACTGCACTCCAGCCTAGGCAAAAGAGTGAGATATTGTCTTTAAAAAAAAAGGCCGGGCGCGGTGGCTCATGCCTGTAATCCCAGCACTTTGGGAGGCTGAGGCGGGTGGATCACGAGGTCAAGAGATCGAGACCATCCTGGTCAACATGGTGAAACCCCGTCTCTACTATAAATACAAAAAAAAATCAGCTGGGCATGGTGGCGCGTGCCTGTAATCCCAGCTACCCAGGAGGTTGAGGCAGGAGAATTGCCGGAACCCAGGAGGCAGAGGTTGCGGTGAGCCGAGATCGCGCCATTGCACTCCAGCCTGGGTAACAAGAGCAAAACTCCGTCTCAAATAAATAAATAAATAAATAAATAAATAAAAATAAATTAAAAAAAAAGAGAGAGAGAGGCCAGGTGCAGTGGCTCCATCTCAAAAAAAAAAAAAAAGAAAAAAAAATGGAGAAAGACTCCCCAAAAAAGAAAAAAAAAAAGAAGAAAAGCAGAGAAAAGATGGGTTACAACAAATGTAAGAGGAAAGGTACAGTTAAGAGCCATGAAGGAGTCTCCCACGTTCATCCCCCACCACCAGAGCGCAACGTGGAGGTTCCACATATGGAAGACATGATCCTGGACTGTGAGTTAAACTGGCACAAGGCTTCCGAGGGCCTCACTGATTACAGCTTTTACAGGGTGAGGATGGCCACTTCTGCAACCCCTGAACTCCCTAGACCGCAATGCTTGTGTTCTGGATCCATGGGCCTGCACCCATGACTCTCATGACCCAGGAGGGTGGTCTAGTACGTGCGGTCTCTACTGACCTCTGGGGACCCCATGCCCTGACCAGTGACACCCTGGATATCCACCTCCCATCCTGAGGCCCTGTGATCGACTCACCCCAGTACTCCCCCAACCCCTGAATTCCCCAGGCCTCAGTGACCCCTTGAGCTTGGGTCTAGGTTTGGGGGAACAATACTGAGACCTTGGTGTCCAAGGGGAAAGAGCCCACCCTGACCAAGCCCATGGTGGGTCCAGAGGATGCAGGTGACTACCGCTGCGAGCTGGGCACCGTGAATTCCAGCCCAGCCACCATCATCCTTTTTCACGTCACAGGTCAGTGCTGTGGGGTTGAGAGAAGTGTAGGATTCAGGGTCCAGAGGGAGTAGGGGAACTGGGAAACCGCTGCGGGGGCGTGGCCTCTGCGATAGGGGCGTGACTTCCTGTTGGGTGTGGTTTCAGGGCATGGGGTGTGGCTTCCTGCCGGGGGTGTGGCCTTTGGCCCTGAGGACAGGGGTTCCCTTGGGTGTGTTCAGGCTTGACGCTATTGGAGGCGTGATTATCCCTGGGATGGCTGGGTACTCTTACGGGCTGGCCTTTGCCAGGGCAGTAACTCCACGCCTTGCCAAGACTGCTCTTTACGCTTTCTCTAACAGTGTTGCCCAAAAGGGTCCAGGAGGAAAACCCGTCTCCAAACATCGTAACCCTGGGGGAGGCCAGCCCTACTCAGATCTCCGAGATGACCTCGGAGTCGTCCATAACCCTCCAGCCTCCGAAGCCAGACAGCATGCTGAAAGGCCGCCTTCTGGGGCTGCTGATCTGGGGCTCCGTAGCACTGTTAATTGGCCTTACCTTTGCGTGAGCAACTCATTGAAGAAGGCAGGCTTGGCTTGGAGTGAGGGGCGAGGCTTCCAGGAACCCAATGCTGAAGCTGGTCTGGGCGCTACTGAGAACTGACAGCAGGACTTTCCCCGGGGTGGGGGGGCTTGCATAGGAGGCGAGGCTTAGATAGTTGTTAGAATAAGGTGGGTGTTGGGAGGGGTGTCCCCCACTCAGTGAGTAAGTACGTAACCTGGTTCCATGATCTGCACCCCCCTGTCACCCCTAGGATATCTTGTCGAAGGAAGGTGATCGATTTCATCAAGTCCTCACTGTTCGGCCTTGGTAGTGGAGCCGACGAGCAACCCCAGGTCCCCAAAGAACAGGACACAGATTCGATGGACCAATAAAGATTTATCTTGTTGTCTAAGCATCTGACTCACTCCCCGGGACGGGACTGATCCTAGCCTTCGTTTCCTCGAGAGGAGAGGTCTGGGGATGGGCGCCGTCCTGAGGGAAGAGGGGCAGGAAACCGGGACCCCTGGGTCCTGGAGGGGACCAATTGACTGCGATGTAATTCCAGAATCAAGGAATGGGGCAGGGCCAGCCCTACCCAGATCTCCTCCCCCAGGCCTGGTCTCCTCACAGGACGCCCCCTCCCCGCTCTTCCTGCCGGGTTTCCTCTTGCCTTTTCCTGTCCCCCACCCAGTGCTGGGAGCAGGGGCAGAGGCAAGGCTGACCGAGAGCAGTGGAACTGACCCAGGCCAGCGGAGCCAGGGCCTCCGGGTGTGCCGGACCCGAAGCAGGGTAAGAGCCAGGGACCCAGCAGCCCATACCACCCCTCCCTGGACCCCAAGACTCAGTCCCCCAGCCATCTTCCATCCCAGGATCCAGGAGTCCAGGGTCCCATCCCACTCCTCCCCCTGGACTCGGGAGTCTGAGCCCCAGCCCCCTCCTCCCTCTGACTCGGAGTCTAGGTTCCCTCCACCCTATCCCCACAAGAGTGCCTTAGGAGTTGGGGCCTTACCCACCCACCCTTAGGGCCATGCTATCTGGTGAACGGAAGGAGGGCGGAAGCCCTCGCTTCGGGAAGCTTCATCTCCCCGTCGGCCTGTGGATCAATTCCCCCAGGAAGCAGCTGGCCAAGCTGGGAAGGCGCTGGCCCAGCGCGGCCTCTGTCAAGTGAGTGCCATCTATGCAGAACTCCTCCCCCTGCACACCTGCCTCCTGTCTGTCCCTGTTCACGGCCCAGTCCCTGCAAAGGGTTGCCTCTGGTCCTCGTCCTGAATTGGGCAATCGAGCTGGTGGGCAGGGGGAGACAGTGGGGCACAGCCATACCAGGGCGCGGCGAGGGGAAGAGCTAGGCCTGGAGGTGGAGGGAGGCCGGATGGGCACCGGGATGGTGACAAGAAGGAGCGGGGAATTGATTCACCTTCCTTCCTCCCCTCCCTGCTCACCTCTTGGAATTTCCTTCTGTGGGACTTGCCTTTATTTATTTATATATTTATTTATTTCTGTCTTTGCTTCGCGTCTCTGTCCTCACCCCCAACCCCGCCGCGTCCATCCACCCTGGGTCCCTGTCCTTCTCTCTCTGGGCCTCTGCCCACTTCTCTCCTAATCTGTCCCCCGCCCCCGGCTTGGGATGTCTTTCTGGGTCTCTCTCCCGCGACTCTGCTCCCCGGCGGACTCCCAGATCTTCTTCGTCGGACACGGGAAGCCGTAGCAGCGAGCCGATACCCCCGCCTCCGCCGCACGTGGAGCTGCGGCGAGTGGGCGCCGTCAAGGCGGCCGGGGGAGCCTCTGGTAGCCGCGCCAAGCGCATCTCCCAGCTTTTCCGGGGCTCGGGGACCGGGACCACGGGGTCCGGCGGCGCGGGAGGCCCTGGGACCCCGGGTGGCGCGCAGCGCTGGGCTAGCGAGAAGAAGCTGCCCGAGCTGGCGGCGGGCGTGGCCCCCGAGCCCCCGCTGGTCACCCGCGCCACGGCGCCCCCGGGGGTCCTCAAGATCTTCGGCGCGGGACTGGCATCCGGCGCCAACTACAAGAGCGTGCTGGCCACGGCGCGCTCCACGGCGCGCGAGCTCGTGGCCGAGGCGCTCGAGCGCTACGGCCTGGCCGGCAGTCCGGGCGGCGGCCCCGGCGAGAGCAGCTGCGTGGACGCCTTCGCTCTGTGCGACGCGCTGGGCCGGCCGGCGGCGGCGGGCGCGGGGAGCGGCGAGTGGCGGGCGGAGCACCTGCGCGTGCTGGGCGACTCGGAGCGCCCGCTGCTGGTGCAGGAGCTGTGGCGGGCGCGGCCCGGCTGGGCGCGGCGCTTCGAGCTGCGCGGCCGCGAGGAGGCGCGGCGCCTGGAGCAGGAGGCCTTCGGGGCAGCAGACGGCGAAGGTGAGCGGCGGGCGGGGCTCTGGGGCGGGGACTCCGGGGCCGGAGAGGCGGGGCCGTGGGCGGCACCTGGGCGGGGCTCGTGGGGGGCCTGGGCGGGGCTTGTGGGATGGGGGCGGGGCCCGCGGGAGGGGACTGAACGGTTTGTGGAGGACTCTAGCCGGTGGAGGCAGGGCTGGAGCCGGGCCGGTGGCGGCCAGATGGTGGGAGGGGCGGGGACCTGAGAGTTGGGTGGGGCTTGTTGATTGGGTGGGATTTTTAGAGGGGTCGGGCTTGGGGCTTAGGCGGGGCGGGGGCTAGTTGCTGATGGTGGCTTGGAGTGGCCTAAAGTGGCTCCGAATTGGGGTTGGGGACTTCTGCATGCATTTCAGGCTGCCTTGGAGGAGGCAGGGTGTGTAGCGGGGTCTGTGGAGTCCAGTGGGATGGGCAGGAGACTGCAGGGGGCGGAGGGATCCGCCCTGTGTGGTAGGTTAGGGGACACTAGCAATTTGCTGATCTTTGAAAGCCTTTCCCTGCCCAATCTCCACTTTCTGGTCGGGTTTCTGCGAGGTCTGTTAGGTGCAGCTTAGTGGCTTAAAATGTACTCTCTTTTGATGGGGTCTCTTGGGGCCGATTGGGAGAAAGAGAAATCAATAGTGCAACTGTTTTCATACTGAATATCGACAAGGATCTTTTTGAATTAAAGAGTCAGTCCTGGCCGGGTTTGGTGGCTCACACTTGTAATCCCAGCACTTTGGGAGGCTGAGGCGGGCGGATCACCTGAGGTTGGAGTTCCAGACCAGTCTGGCTAATATGGTGAAACCCCGTCTCTACTAAAAATATAAAAATTAGCCGGGCGTCGTGGAGCACGCCTGTAATCCCAGCTACTCGGGAGCCTGAGACATGAGAATCGTTTGAACCCGGGAGGCAGAGGCTGCAGTGGGCCGAGATGGCACCACTGCACTCCAGCCTGGGCGGCAGAGCGAGACTTCGTCTCAAAAAAAAAACCAGGCCGGGCGCGGTGGCTCACGCCTGTAATCCCAGCACTTTGGGAGGCCGAGGTGGGTGGATCACGAAGTCGATTGATCGAGACGATACTGGTCAACATGGTGAAACCCTGCCTCTGCTAAAAATACAAAAATTACCGGGCGTCGTGGAGCACGCCTGTAATCCCAGCTACTCGGGAGGCTGAGGCAGGAGAATTGCTTTAACCCTGGAGGTGGAGGTTGCGGTGAGCCGAAATCGCGCCATTGCACTCCAGCCTGGGTAACAAGAGCGAAACTCCGTCTCAAACAAACAAACAAACAAACAAAAAAACAAGCCACAGAAAACAAAACAGTACTCCAGAAAAAGAAAAAGGAATTGGAGAGACCTGGGAGCTGGGGGAGTAAGCACTGAAAATGTTGGGAGCCCTGCAGAGCCTGTGGGCGGGGCCTGTGGTGGGGCGGGGCTTGTGGAAGAGCGTGGTCTGGCGCACTGAGTGTTGGGTCCCGCGAGGAGTGGTGGTATGTAGTGCGTGAGTCTCTGTGGCAGGAGGCAGCTCTGCGAAGTAGGTTGAGGCGGTTCTTGAGCAGGGCCTATGTGGCCGGAGCCTAGAACGGGAGACACCTGCAGAGTGAATGAGTGCAGGCTCCTAGGCCAGGCCTGCGGGGGCTAAGATGGGCGGAGCCTCTGAGGGGCAGTCCTTGGATAAGACGGCCTTAGGCTGGGTTGGCTGCTAAATGGAGTCATACGGAAAAGGAAGGGGCTGGAGGAGGAGGTCGTTGTAGAGACGAAGGAAGGCCTTGATCTCAGAGGAGGCCAGGCCTGGAACAGAAGGTAGAGTCAATGGTGAAATAGCTGGTGCTGGACCGCGCCTGGCAGGGGTGGGGCCTGGCGCATTGAAAGCCCGGGTCTGCTGCGGTGAGCCCTCTAACCGCTTTTCTGTATCTGAGCCTCCCTTTGGAAGATAGGATGTTATAGCAATTAAACTAATGGGCTTTGAACTCGGGTTTGGATTCCAACCCATTCTGTGCCAGTTAATCTCAGTAAAATCCTAGGTGAGGGCCGGGTGCGGTGGCTCACGCCTGTAATCCCAGCACTTTGGGAGGCCGAGGCGGGTGGATCACAAGTTGAGGAGATCGAGACCATCCTGGCCAACACGATGAAAGCCTGTCTCTACTAAAAATACAAAAAAATAAATAAAAATTAGCCGGGCGTGGTGGCACGCACCTGCAGTCCCAGCTGCTGAGGAGTCTGAGGCAGGATAATTGCTTCAACCCAGGAGGCGTAGGTTGTAGTGAGCCAACATTGAGCCACTGTACTCCAGCCTAGGCGACAGAGCGAGCTCTATCTCAAAAAAAAAAAAAAAAAAAAAAAAAAAACCCTAGGTGAGGATTCAATGGGATAATGCATTCAATGTATAAAGGGCCTAGCACGGGACTTGGCATAGAGTAGGTGCTTGATAAAGAATGATTATAATCATTGTCTCTCTCCTGCGCCCCCCGACAAAGTTGTTTTTTTTTGTTTGTTTGTTTTTTGTTTTTTGTTTTTTTTTTGAGACGGAGTTTCGCTCTTGTTACCCAGGCTGGAGTGCAATGGCGCGATCTCCGCTCACCGCAACCTCCGCCTCCTGGGTTCAGGCAATTCTCCTGCCTCAGCCTCCTGAGTCGCTGGGATTACAGGCACGCGCCACCATGCCCAGCTAATTTTTTGTATTTTTAGTAGAGACGGGGTTTCATCATGTTGACCAGGATGGTCTCGATCTCTTGACCTCGTGATCCACCCGCCTCAGCCTCCCAAAGTGCTGGGATTACAGGCTTGAGCCACCGCGCCCGGCTTTTTTTTTTTTTTAAACAACAACAGAGTCTTGCTCTGTCACCCAGGCTGGAGTGCAGTGGTACGATCATGGCTCACTGCGACCTCCAACTCCTGGTTCAAACAGTTCTCCTGCCTCAGCCTCCCAAATAGCTAGGATTACAGGCGTCCACCACCACGCCCGGCAAATTTTTTTTGTATTTTTAGTGGAGACCAGGTTTCGCCATGTTGGCCAGGCTGGTCTCAAATTCCTGACCTCAGCCTCCCAAAGTGCTGGGATGAGC